AAGTATTCTAAACAAACTCGGTTCTGTACTAAAGTAAATTGAGGTGTCGAGGGCGTCCTCCTACCCTCCGAATACCCATGAAAAAAATATTTGTATATTTCTCTAACGGTCATTTCAATTAAAACTACTTTTGAAAGGAGAGAAAATTGAACATTTGAAGTGATTCTTTTATGCAATCCTGTAAGTCTATTCTTTTAGCCATATCTTTTCACACAGCCACAATATCCTAAGGATAGTGTCAGCTAATTATGATAACATTATTTTTCTATCTAATAATTATCTACGGAGTAACTATTATTTGAAAAACAATCTGAAATATCGCTTTAGAGTACTTCTGACGGCAAGTAAACTATAGATCAATCACTTGCTGCTTCTCCGAGATATCGGCAAAAGAATGACTGTCGTTCAATATGATCTTGATGTTAACAAAGGTAGCATATACCTTTATCGACGACTATTGTTCAGTAATGACAATCTTTGCTGAAGCAGCAGCACAAGTCACTACTTTCGTCTTTACGCATTTCGCTTTAGTAGGACTGGAGAAATATTTTATCCAATAAAATCTTGAATAGGGTTTTATTTGCTTTCTCATTATTTTCTTTCAAGACATAATTCATTCAAATTTTGTGATCGTGTATTACTGTGCGATGTTATTATATCGATCTGTTGATGGCACACCTTGAATATGCTGTTATAATAAGAATAAGCAGCCATGGCCGGTTTCGACCTTGCTTAAGGATCTCATCAGATCGCATTAATCTTATTCATCATCATACATTTTAACACTGTATCTCCTCTATTCTAGGGTTGACTGTAGTTTCGTTGTCATCTTATGATGATGATGATGAATTTGAATAAAGCCATCTGATGAGACCCTTAAGCATGGTCGAAACCAGTCATGGTTGCTTATTCTTAATGTGCATAGCGAGGTACTTTCAATTTTAAGAGCTACTGGTGGTACTTGCTGGTCTGCATATTCTATGAGTTCTCTCATTTTTATTTTTTAATTCGGCCAATGCGATTTATGAAAAAGAGTAGTTGATTCGATTATTTGTATATTGGTATTCTTTTAAAAATTTTTATGTATATATAAGTCTTTTCACTTTCATTTAACTCATAAATGCTTTTTCCACAGAAATTTCTTGCGAGATTTATATATCAATAATAAAATTTGTACGTATCGCCTTCAATATAATAAAATTAATCGGTTAAATGTATTTGTTTGATTTCGATGATAGACAAGGGTATCAACAACTCACCGGTATCCGTGTTGATATTCACAGTCATCTCTGCTTTTTTCATAAGTGATACGATTAAACACTGAAATTTCGGTGTAATATGTCATTGTTGCTTTTTAGTAAAGGAATATTCCACATCGTGCGGTGTTTCTTCTGCTTTCTGTCGATAAAAACTCCGATTATCATAAGAAAAAGGTCAACAGTTTTTTTGTCTCTTTCTGAAAGAGTTATGTTTTTTTTATCAAAACAGCCAATCTGCATTAAAAGTTTTCTGCAATCACAGACCTTGCCAACGAACACAAATTACCGGAGGAGATCTTTTCCTTCTGATCTTTAGATTCATCTACTTCGTGACTGTCTACTGGAGTCGCTAGATTACGTTGGTGATTGCAACTGAAATTCTACCAGCATCGACCATTATTACCAGTCCTGATCAATCATTATATTATCAATAGTTCATCGACTTTTCATAGATATTATTTGTAAGATGAATTTTATCACGTATTACTTTATTTTTATCAATACAAATATTTTTTATATTAAGGGTATAATCATAATTCAACCAATTACTCAAAAGAATGTAAATTTATGATAATTCAAGATAAATAGTTATTGTTGTTATCATTATCGAATCCATAGTCGAATACAATTGATAGATTTTGGATCTCTCGAAATCAAATATGTCGATGATAAATTATCTTTTAACCATTGAATTAACTCGTCTTTGTCTGTTTTATTTGTCTGATGAGATTCATTAACGTTTTCTATTAATGGCAAATATTTAGAATATTCATCATCTTCACATTGAATATGTAGTGCTCGAAGACTGATCATATTTTTAACAAGAATGATAATACTTTCACGATTTTTAACTTGAATAGGAAGTATTTCACATTGGACTTCCAATGGTGAATGAGTCAATGTATCACATTCTTCTTCATTGAATCGATAATTATATTTCTGTAAATAAAGTTGACGAACTGATGCATTATTATATTTGAATAATGAAATTTGTAATGGTAATAATACTTCTTGTCTAATATCTAGACGATAAAGATACGGTGCACGATCAAGTAAAACTTGTAATTGAGATTGATAAGTGTCAGTATGAGATAATATTCTAAGTGAATGTAGTGTCTTTAAACTTAGAACAATGGACCAAAATTGATCATTAATAGGAAATGTTATGCAAACAGAATCCATATTCTGCAAAAAAATATCAAATAGAAATGATTGCTCAAAAACTATCTGATCATCGATGCTGGTCATACAATGATAAAACGTCAGATAATTGTCATGTCAAAAAAGTAGATTTTCACCAATTAGGAAATTTTTTTTTCGAAATGATAAAATATTATAGATGAAGTTTCAAGACGAATAATTTTATCACATGTAAAACATCGAACAAACCATTTATGTTCATTAATCCAAAATGAACTTTGAAAAGAGTTAATTAATTCATTAGCTCGTTCTTCGATATTTTGATCGTCTGGAAATTGATCATACATGTTCAAGTCAAATATTTTAAACTTCGGCAAATAACTACGAATGATTTGTTCCCATTGATAACCATTGATTAGATTAAATGCCATAGTGATCTTCAAATGACGTAAATTGAGTACATTTTTCAAGAATGAAATCATTTTTGATAAATCAAACGTACGATAATAACATATGTTCAATTCGATTAATGTTGGAATAGGAGATGATTGATAATCATTATTGTCGAAAGGAGTACTAAACATACGAAGATATTCTAGACGAAGTGTACATTCAAATAAAGGATATATTTGATTCCATTTAAGTGTTTGTCCACTTATATATACATTTTTGAGAGATGTGGACAATTTTGTGGGTAGAATAAAAGTTTGTTGTTAATCGATTCAAACACTAAAATAACAATAGATAAGTTTGGTAAACTCCAAATATTGTTAATAACTAATTGAAGATTCACTTGATTATTTCCAAAAGAACAAGTGTTCAATTTTAAACGAGTGAGTTTAGAAAGATAATGTAATTCATCAGCAAATTTTACCAATGTGTAATATGAAGGAACGTGTAATATTGATAGTGATCGCAAATGAATGAATTGACGAAATGATGGTATGTAAGAAAACAAATAGATTTATTTGTCCTGGAATATTTTCACCGTCAGAAAGAGTAAGAGTAGTAACTTGATTAGAAATAAATGGTAAATGTTGTTTACATATAATATCGAATTGATGTTTTGAATAAGAAACTAAATCAAATCGATATAATTGAAATTGTTTGTAAAGAAGTAGATTGAAGCGAAAATTATGACCATAAAATGCACGAAGAATATCTATACCATTAAGATACTGGAATAAATCAAGTAAGATTTCGTTGGGTAAGAATTCCAAATTCATCGTGTTTAAAGAAGAAGATAATGTTTCACATAAAATAAATGTAGACGAGGAATATAGTTCGAATATTTTGCTTCAATTTTGAATAGAAAAGTCACTTTGTTTTATTCTAACTCTACAGATCAATGAAAAAACCGATAAAAAATAGAAATAAGACGAGATATGACTAGTGTGAAATTTCTGCATTATCTGTTAGGTTAGTCTAAAATGGTTTTTTAATGTTCGTCATGAATGATTGTCTTAAACACTCTAATGTCTAGTCCGGTCTATATATTGATCTC